GGTTCCCAGCACCATGCACACAATAATAACAAAAACCTCATCAAACCATTTGGAGGCAAAAATAAAATTTTTAAACATAAGATTTGACTGGAACTCAATAGCCAGACCTCAGGTTGCTGAGTGACCTGCTATTTCCCCTCTCAGCTAGGTAACTTGGATGTTTTTTCCTCTTTCTGAACACAGGCCTCCTGAATTGGTTAAGAGAAACTAACGTGAAAGGGCTGCCATAGGACTCAATGAGATCAACTTGACAAGGCTGGCACTCGGTAAGCCAATGGTGGCGAACCTATGGCACGTGTGATGCAGGGGGCTGTTTGTATCACTGGAAGCTCTCAAAGGTTCGCCATCACCGTATAATAAGCCCTGACTGGTAGCTGTCCGGGATTAAGTACTCAAAGAGTTCTCATGCTAACTGATGGCTTGTAGGAAACTTCTAAAAACCCATCCACCAATGCTACTTTCAATTTTGTGGCTAAAATATGTAATGCTAAATTATTTCTGCAAAGTAGTAGAGTATTTCTGCAAATGCCTGAGCTAAAATATATGCCTTCCGTGCACAAGGCCCACTGCCACCCCCCAAATAAAAAAAAAAACTTTAAAAACCCCTGCTAATTTAGTAGAAAACAAGAGGTTTATGTTAATATCGCCTGTATTCACAATCCTGCTCTTTCATGAACAATCCTAAATAAATTGCAGTGAGATTTATTCATAAATTATTTTCTTTTATGGGGTGGGGGTGCTGGAGAGCAAACCCAGGGCCTCATGCATACAAGACAAAGGCTCCACCGCCACACTGCGCTTCGGTCCTATTTATAACTTCTCAACTTCTGCAAGTTAAGGGCAAGGCTTTGGCGGACTCTAGGGAGCCTGAGTCCCAGGGAATTGGCCACAGAAAAGCTGAGCCTCAGCTTCTGTTTCTTTGCTCCCTGACAAAGGCAGGTGTTTCTCTGCTTCGCGGCACCTTCACACTTTTCGGCGACCTCTTCTCTCTCCTTTTTCTGGGGCCAGCGTTTTGCTATGCAGCCCAGGCTGGCCTCTGCCTTGTGTCTTCTGGCTCAGCCTCCCCAATGCTGAGATTACAGGTGTGTGCAGCCACACCTGGTTTCAGGGCACTCTTTTCTTCTCCCTATTTCAGCCACGGTTGTGTGGTCCAAGAGTGGGGTCACAGAGGCCTGGCTTTCTCTCTGGCTGTCTATCCAGCACAGGGCCTGCTACACGCACACGTGTGCGTTACAGAACAGCATCACAACCGGATCTGTATGCCCAAGATGCAGGTTACACTGGGCGTACTCTGCTCACTTCCCACGTAGGAAAAAGGCAACATCGAAGCGGGCAGCAGACCGCACCGTTCTACCCGAAACGCTGTGTTCTAACACCCTCTGCACACCCTGCAGAGAAGCCTGAACCAGCTGAAAAGCCCCATTGTTCTCAAGGAATATGAGAAATTTCTGGGGCTGGCAGAGTGCTCATCTAGCTTGTGTGAAGCCCTGGGTTTTATCCTTAGCACTAAGATAGAGAGACAGAGACAGAGAGGCAGGCAGACAGTCAGAGAAGGAAAGGGAGAGGGAGGGGAAGAGAGAAGAAAAACAGAAAATTTCTGAACTTGAATTTGACAAGGAAATACAGAAGGAGAATACTGAATTTTTTAAAAAATAAAAGGTAGATCAGGCACGGTAATGCATGCCTGTTAATCCCAGCACTCAGGAGGCTGAGGCAGGAGGGTCGCTTTGAGTTTGAGGCCAGCCTGGGCTACGTAGTGAGTTCAAGGCTAGCCTGAACTACATAGTGAGACCTTGTCTCATAAAAAAAAAAAGACAAAAAGTAAATAATAAATAAAAAGTAAAAAGTTTAGCTGGGCATAGTGGTGCACACTTGTAATTCCAGCCCTGTGGGAGGCTGAGGTAAGAAGATTTCCAAATTCAAGTCCTGCCTGGGAAATCGAGCAAAACCTTGTCTCAAAATAAAAAATACAAAGTGCCAGGGCTACAGCTCAATGCAAAGGGCTAGCATTTAATTTCCAGACTACCATCCCTAGCAAAAGGTTTAATTTTTTTTTTTTTAAAGCAGCATATCTTTTATTTCCAGTTTCCGATAAACTCACTTCCTGTTATTCTGTCCAGCTGTGTAACCTATGAGCAGACTAAGAATTATGTCCTCTACCTTGATTGAGAAGCTACTTTGTGATATGTATTTTAAACAAGATCTGCTAATATAATTTTTAAGTTAAATGTACTATATACTTCAGATTACTAATTTTTTGTTTGTTTTTTTTGAGACAGGGTCTCACTATGCAGTTCAGGCTGCTTTGAGCTCACTTTGTAGCCCAGGCTGGCCTTGAACCCACAATGATCCTTCTGCCTCAGCCTCCTGAGTGGTGGGATTACAGGCGTGCGCCACCACGCCCGGCTGAGATTACTAATTTAGAAGTAATTTAGATTTTAATAAATTTAAAATTATTTACAAATAGATTATGCTGATTTTATATTCCTAAATAAATTTATTCACCTAAACTGTTTAAAACAGCCCAAAATTTAATAAATACTCGAATACTAGCTATTATATTTATTTTACTTTGACAATTTTTACTTTTTCCCCCCAATTTTGATTTTCTTTTTTTTCTTTTTTTTTTTTTTTTGGTATAGGGAATTGAACTCAGGACCTTGCACTCGCCAGGCAGGCGCTTGTGCCACTGAGCTATATCCCTGGCCCTACTGACTTTCGAACATAACATTCTTAGTGAGTCTAAGCCAAGAGATGCCCTACTTATGGGTCAAGTTTATAGTTCATTTTTTTCAGTCCTGGGGATTAAACCCAGGGTTGCTGCTCTGAGCTACACCCCCAACCCATTTTTAAGTTTTAGAATTTCCACTTATTTTTGTTCTCCTCCCTCTCCCTGATGAGGTCACACTGGTTTTTTTTGAGACAGGGTCTCGCTATGCAGTTCAGGCTGTACTTGAATTCACTATGTAGTCCAGGCTGGCTTTGAACTGATGGCTACCCTCCTGCCTCCGCCTCCTGGGTGTTGGGATAACAGGCTCGTGCCACCACACTTGGCTAAATTTAGTGCTTTTACACTAAATTTATGTGTGTGTCAGGGACCAGGAGGTGCGAGGGGCAAACCACTAAATTTAGAGTGGGAAATCTAGGTTCTGATTCCTGCTCTGTTTCTTAAAAAGTCTGTGAGCACAGCCAGGGCACCATTCCTCTGCTCTTTTGCCATCGGGAGGGGGGGGGCACATAATGCAGTCCCTTTGCTTACAGAGCCCTTGTGAGGATTACTTTAAAAATAAAAATCGGGCTGGGGATTTAGCTCAGCGGCAAAAGCGCCTGCCTGGCAAGCGCAAGGTCGTGAGTTCCGTTCCCGGAACCGGAGAAAAACCAAAAAAAATAAAAATAAAAATAAAAATCTATATTCAGTTTTTAAACACAGAATTTTCCTGATTATCAGTGTGACTCCTCACATGAACAGCTGGTATGATAGTGGTAATCCACTTGTACCAGTTAAAGAGAAGGATAAAAACCAAAGCATGTGCCAGACATGGGGGTGCACAGCTGTGAACACAGCACTCAAGAAGCTGAGGCAGGAGGACTGCCATGAATTTGAGGCCAGCCTGGGCCGCAGAGGAAGACTCATCTGAAAAAAAGCCAAAAAACAAAAAACAAAAAAACTAAAACAGCAACAATCAAAAGAACCAAAAGACAAAGAACCAAAGGACAAAAGACCAGTGAATCAGAATTGAGCATTAATAACTCTTCTTCCTTTTTTTTTTTTTAAGAGAAAATCTTTTTCCTCAATTGTATGTAAAAGAAAATCCTTTCCCCTGTTCCTTTCAAGCCCTGACGTTTTTTAAAATTCTGACTAAGTTCATTTTCACTTCCTTTCATTCACAGATTTCATTCGGGGTCATAGTCCAGTGACCTGCAGGGTCACAGCCTGGCCAGGGTACAGCCCTCCCAAAAGCAGTGCCTTATCTCTGTAAGCAGAGGCAGGAAGCGGAGCTGAGCTTTCCTGTCGGCCTGGCTGGGGGCTGGGCTCAGCCTTTCCAGGGTGCTGCCTGCCGCTGTTCCCCTCCTCTGCAGCCCGAGCCTGAGCTGGTCAGGGTGTTCCAACACCAGAGGCAAAGTCCGGGCCTATGACCAGCCGCTCCTTTCCCAGGCACCAAGCCCACGCAATGAGGCTCCCGGGCCAGCACTCCGAAACGACATTTTCGTTAGGGATCAAAGGAAATTGAGGTGAACCGATAAATCCACCCTAACATCCTCAAAGCCATCTAAATATTTCATTTATATTATTTTGACGAGGTATTATTTACACTAACTTCAGAGACCAGGAGAATAGGAAAGGTCTGGCACCAAAAGTAACAGAAGGATTTGTCCAAACTGGATTATTCTGACTTGGAAAGTTACCAGATTAGTCAAATTTAGTTTTAGGTGGTTTGCCCTGAATGCTGGCTCATGAAAGTGACTGTTAATTATTCCCCAGTAATTAAACATTTTGCTCCAGGGTTGCAGAACCGGAGAAAATCTACAACAGAGGATCACATTCTGTGTGCAACTTTCTACAACTTCAAATCCCTGAAGTATGAATTCTTGGTACCGACTTACGACTCCCACTGTGGATGCCAAAGCTTTTGAATGTGGTCAAGAAATGTATGTAAATAATCCTAACCCCAAAGACCACATTCTGAGCAGATCCTCAGACTCCCGTGTGTCATTTTGCATAGAATCAGAAAAACTTTAAAAATCCCTGCAAATGTGAAAACTCTATGAGACAATAAATCGTAAAGGAAGTCAGACAGCTCAGATTTAGTCTAGACTTCATTTGTGTTTCTCCCAATCAGCAGGATCCAATTAAAATTAAACTGCTTGATGCCTCTGCCCCAAACGTGGCCTGGCTACTGCTCAGCCACACTCCAGGGGGTGCGTGTGTGTATGCGTGTGCACACGTGCGTGTGTGTGTGTGCGAGGGCTCTGTCCCTGGGAAACAGCTGAGTACGAACCTGTTATCATCTGCTGGGCGTCATAGGGCTCCATGTAGCCGTCATTCTCGCCAACTCTCTCTGCATCCCTCTGACCCTTTGTCCGTTTGGCATCGTAAGGGTCGGCATAGTCTTCTAAAATGATGACCTGTCGAAGAGCAAGAGAGGACGGTGAGTGCTGACGATTGTTCCCTACCCCAAGCCACTGAAGTCTGCAGATCTGGACAGTCTGTAATGAGCTCCAGACAGCTTCTGTATTTGATCCTGTGTGTCATTTGGACAAACCTTCTTTTTGCAGGATAACTGATTTGTGACAATTCATTTAAACTCTTTTACATAACCACAGTGGTTTTTTTCTACTTTCTTTTCTCTCCCCAAGTAATAAACACTGGTGGGTTAGAGGATGGCAGGGGTGGGCGGTTGGAAGAGGAAGTTATCTGTGGCTTTGGTGCATAAAAGATGAACTGGTCTACCACACAGCCTGTGCTCGTTTAAGTTCCAATTGACCGGGCAATGCAGTCACAGTGAGTCAGTCAGTTACCTCCCGGCACTGGCTAAGCCCTGTGGGGAGTCCAAACAAACCAAAGGCCTGCTTCCTGTCCTCAAGCAATTCCTAACATCTCAAAGACACAAGCCTCGTAAGGGAGAAATGGGCTAGTGCCGAACAGTATTGTAGAAGTTCTAGGTTCAGTAATTCGTAGGCAAAATGATTCCCTTAGGGGGCTGGGGACTTAGCTCAGCGGCAAAAGCACCTGCCTGGCAAGTGCAAGGTCGTGAGTTCGGTTCCCGGTACCGGAGAAAAAACAAAAAAAAAAAAAAAAATGATTCCCTTAGGCTACAGATCACATTGAGCCTTGTTTTGGGGGTATTTAACCCAGGGTTTGTGCACTGAGCTATATCTTCAGACTTAAACTTTTTTTTTTTTTTTTTTTTTGAGATAGGGTCTCACTAAGTCACTAAGTTGCCCAGACTGGGCTTCAACTTGTGCCTCCCAGAGTCCTGGGATCACAGTCATTCACCACCATACCCCGCTCATACAGTTTTAATGGTATCTGTGTCGGAGAACACCTACCTTGCCAAGGAAGTTATACAACAGTGCTATTCTGTAGCAGCTGGTGACAACACCAAGGATAGAGAACCTTTCTCAGGGAGGAAGTTTAAGGACCTGTTCCATGGTGTGATACTGTGTTCTCCAAGGAAAGTTCACAGAATGGACCTTCGGAGCTGGTAGTAAGAAATTCAGAGAGCAAGAGAAGGGGAGGAGGAGGGTACAGACTGCATGAGAGTCCTCCGCCCCAGAGGAGATGGCCTAAGAAAACTCAGTCACCCACAGGTGATGCCCCTGAAGCCGCGAGGCACCTACTGCAGAGGACGGCGAAGGCTGTGGGCTCTCTCCCTCCCCCTTGACTAGTAAGCATGGGTACCACAGCCGCGAGGCACAGCACACACACAGGGCCTGATGAGCTCGTCCTCAGCTCTACAGTGCAGACGATCTAGTCCAGCAGTCAGGTTGACCACTGAGCCACATACGAGCTGGGTCACACCCGCTCTCCCATGGCTCTCGGCTCCTTGCCTGGCCCGGGGCAGGTGTGCTGGGAATGTGTGTGGGAAGAAGTTCTCTTCTGGAGAAACTTCTGGAGTTGTGAACACAGAAGCCCCATACAGAGGCTACAGGCTAGGAGAGAAAACTGAAGCTCTTGTGACAAGAAGCGAGTGCCTGGACTGGGGTCTGAAATCTCATTTGAGCGCTACCTCTCCCGGATTCACACAGGAGAGAAACAAACCAGACCAAACCGTCCCATCCTTCTAAGGATGCAGAACTCTTGCCCAGGTCCACACTCCTTTACTTGCTTTCCCACATTGGACAGCACCAGGCTCTCCAGGGAGTCAGAAACAGGAGGAGTCAGGAACGGGAAGCACCTTCTGTCCTGATCTGGCATTTCCCTGCGGCCGACTGTAGCCTCCAGGTCCCTCAGTGCCCCTCGCCTCCTAGCCTAGGCAGCTGCTGCATAACAAATGTCCTTGGGATGGGTGGGAGGACAGGCATCTTGGGGGACTGCTGAAACTCTCAGGTCTTTACCAGGTGGAAGCGCTGAGCGGATGGACCCTCTGAGCCACTGGAGAGGGAGGTGGCCAACCCCCTTCCTGAAGCTTTGAAACCCGTACTCACAGGTTAGAGGGTCCCATTCCAACTCTCAAGAAGGACAAGCCACACACAGATCTAGCTTTGCAGATCTCCTGGATGGCAGAATTCAAATAAAACCACATTCATAAGGGGTCACATTAACCAAAGCAGGAAGCGCTTGTTCACTCCTCTAAACTGCTAACAAACCCAGATTTACTAAGTACATTTCTGCAAAGTTCTCCACCCCTAGGATGAGAATTTTTTTCAAGATAAGTCCTTGATTTACAAGGGTCACCGAGTGGTGTTGGGGGAGCGACCTTCCCTTAAGTGTGAAGCAGCCTGGGGTTTAGCAGACACTCAGATGTTCCCTGGCCCGCGGAGGCGGCCCAGGCAGGCTGGAATCTTACCGTGTCCTGCTGCTTCGTGATCTTGCCCTTGTCCGGCTCCGGGCCCAGGGAGGAAGGGGAAGAGGATGCAGAGGAACAGCTGCTGCTACTGCTGCTACTGCTGCTGCTACTGCTGCTGCTGCTGCCGTTGCTGGGGTAGCTGCTCTTGCTGGTCTTCTCCTGGGTGTCCACCTTGATGAGCCTGCTGATGTAGGTGCTGCAGCCGGAGCTCTTGGCCGCGCCCCGGTGGGGCTCTTCCTCCGTGGTCCGAGAGTTCTTGCGGCCCTTACCGGCCGCGGCCTGGATCAGGCCCTGCAGGCTGTCCCGGGAGAGCCGACTGTCCTTGGGGGCAGCGCCGCTGGTCCGGGCGCCCAGCTCCGCCGCCGAGTTCTTGCGGCCCTTGCCCGGGATGGGCCCCGCACCGCCCGCCTCGGGGCTCTTGCGCAGCTTGCCCGCGCCCGCACTGGGCTTCAAGGCGAGCGGGAACTCCTTGAACCACTTGGCCGCCATGGGGGGCGCCCGGCCCGGACCCCGCGAAGCGCCAGGCGTCGGGGGCCACTGCATTCCCCGCGCCCCGCCGGCCG